ATTGCTTAAATAAAATTTGCTGTTAATCTGCTAAGAATTTATTTTTTTTTAATATTTTGTTGTTAAACTTTAAGTATTATAAATATGTAAGTATCATGTTAATATTACTGGTAATTATTTTCTGATATATTATTTAAATCTTAGAGTTAACTTTAACTGTTGGGAAATAATCATTATATTATTGACTTTTACAGTATCCAAAAAAAGTTTCTCTGTATCCATAACTTAGCACAGAGATATAGTAGGGAAAAAATTTTTTTTTATTTAAAAGTACATTAAAATACATAAAAATTAATGCATAGTATAATCACCCTCAAATTCAATTAGGGCCTCTACATGATGCCTCATGCTCTTTACCAAATTAGCTACATACTCCTTAGGTAATTAATTCTATTCTTTTGTTATTTGTGTCTTCAGAGTACTAAGCTTTCTAATTTTTTTTTCCAGATTCATTTTTATAAGTTCTCAGACATTGTCAATCAGGTTTGGTTGGGTGATATCGACGGCTAGAGAAGAACTTCAACATCATTTTTCTTCTTCCATACCTTCACGATTTTCAAACGGTGCTTCGGGTCATTGTCCTCCTGCAGAATCCAACTATTACAACCTTCACCAAAAAGGTCTACAGCAGAAGGTAGAAGGGCTGTTTCATACAGAGTGGTTATATATTGCATATTAAGATTATGTGTAAAGCAGACTAATCTTTCAAAGCCCAAAGAAGAAAAACACCCTCATACATGACCTTCAACAGATGCTTGACAAAACGGGTTATTTTCCTTGCCCTGACAAACTGCCAAGCCTTTTTAACTATTGATTCAAGCAAAATGTACTTTCATCAATAAATATCACAGTATTATAATCAAAATCCTTATGTTTCTTCGCCCACGAGAGCTATTTTTTCTGATGCTTCTCTCCGAGCAACAGCTTTGCAAGTTTTTCATAATAGTGAGCCCCACCTTCACCAAGGCACTGTTGAATGATGTGTACGTGATGTTTACATTCTGTTTAAGAAGCTTATAGTGGATTTCTGGTGCTGTAATATCTACGTTCTCTTTTGCTAGCTTCAAAATCTGGTTGTCTTGTTTTTGGTAATAACTCTTTGATGACTCACCCTTGGTTTGTCATTTAAGACTTTGCTTTCTTGCTATCTTTTTGCCCATTCTCATACTGTTTTTTCATCACAGTGAAGCTGCTTTACTGTCACATATAATGAGAGCTTGGAGCCTATCGGGTGGCTAGTTAAAAGTTGACTTCATACTGCTTATGCAAAGAAAGAGACATTTTTTTGATTGAAACTTGGCGTATAAGCAGTGTGGGCATTTTTACTATATATAGTGCCTGAAGAAGTTTAGTATGATCTGTATATGTGATGTCCCTTGCCTGTATAAAATTTCAAGCTTCTACGCTTGAATTTTTAGAAATTACAGGTGCAGGAAAACTTTTGTAGGCACTGTAATAGATCAAATATAATATAATTCAGATCATTAAAATAAAAAGTAGAATTTATATATTCTGTTAGTGTTTTAAGTTGAAATAGCATTAAGTTTTTTAAATTATCAGCTTAGCCAACTATTAATATATACTAGTATAAAGACTGAAACTTGTCACATAATAAATAGTTATAAAATAACTAATTAGATGGCCAAATATAAAGAAATATTAAAAATTGATCCAAAAAATATAGGCACATTAAAAAATCAGAAGAATATTAATTAAGAGGATGCAAGACATAGCTTTTAGATTTAAATAAACTATTAAAATCAAGCAAAAATTATTAACAATTAAAAAAATAATATAATTGTATTAATGATGATTCTGATATAGAAGATTTATAATTGCACAAAAGATTTTATTTTGATTTTATGATTATAAACATATAATTGAGTGGCTTACACTTTATAAACTAGATAATATTAAAAAAAATATTAAAAAAAAGTATATTTGTTCTATAGTATACAAAAAAATTATAACAAATATGTAAAATCTGGAAAGATTTTTTATTTGATCTATTAAACAAATATTAAATTAATTATATATATTTATATAATTTGACAATTATTACCTGCAGGTAACAAGCTTAAAATATATAGCATTCTAATTTTTAATTTACTAAAGCTATAATTATACTAAATTTAACTTAAATAGATTTTTCTACAAATAACTTATTCTATCAAGTTTATATAACTATGTATATATGGAGACCTCACAGCAAAAAGGTATAATAAGCCAAAAAAAATTTTTTTTCTAAACTCAATTTCTTGAAGAATAACAATCAGCTTCCAATTTTTATAAAATTACAAATTTAAAATTTTCAGCTCATTGCACCTTTTTGCTGTGGAGTTCTCATATGTTATTTTGTGTATCTATATGGTTGTATATATTAAGCCACTAAGAATACATAATAATGACTAATCTAACTAAGGTAAGATTAATACATTATGGCAAATTTATGAAATTAAAGAAATTAAGTAGATATTGTGAAAAGATGGATTGAATGGTGGAAAGATAGGTTAGATGTTGGATTTGGAGTATAGCAGTATATCATAATTTAAACCAGCACATATTTCATAATTATTTTGATTACTCTAATTTATCTTGATATGTATACATTAAATTGACTCACTATCAGTAGTCAAACTTTTCAAATTTTAGAGTAGTTTACAAGTGCCATAATGATAACTATATCATACTGATAGACGAATATGGAAATAAGATTCAGAGAACAAAATTATCAATTACATTAGTTTTCTTTTGCAACTATTATTGCCTTTCATCAGTTTTGTTTCTTTCACCAGTTTTGCTACCTTTCACCAGTTTCGCTATTTCAGCTATTAAATTTTTTTTGGTGAAACCTCTAGGTTTTGCCACAACTTTATATTAGAGGTTTCACTTAGTAAAGGTTTAATGTATTTTTTATTATGCTTCTTCCTAATATTTTCATTGCATCTCCTCACCAATGTTTTCATTTAGATATTAATAATCTTTCATTGAGCCAATCTCTTATGCACCTTTTCCAATATTATATTGCACCATAATCTCTCATATACTTTTTCCAATTTTCTAATATTTTCATTGCGCCCAATCTTTTAATGCACCTTTTTTAATATTTCACTGCACCCCAATCTCTCATGCACCTTTTTTAGAATTTCATTGCGGCTCTTCCCAATATTTTCATTGTGACTCCTTACCAATATTTTCATTTTGCTACTTTATAGTCTTTTATTGCACCAATATCTAATACACCTTTTCTAATATTTTCATTGTGTTCCAATCTCTCATGTATCTTTTCCAATATTCTTATTGTACTTCTTCCTAATATTTTCATTGTACCACTTCTAATCATTTCATTGCGTCTTCTCTAGTCTCAAGAATATGTACTTATTGAGGTTTTAACATATTTGACTTTAAATAAAGTTGTATTAATTTATTTTACTTTATGAATTAATG